GGTCCTCATGCTGGACAAATATTTGAAACCCCTTGGGGGTAATTGTGATGTCGTTGTTGTTTGTGTTACAGGATTGTTTGAACTCCTCTTTGCCATTCAGAATGAGACAGTGGTTCTCTGATTTTGTGATGTTGCCAGCAGGGTAAACGCATGGCCGCCGTTCAGCCAGCCTCAGAATTTTCACACTGGGGTCTCTTGAGTGTACAATTCATGTTCCCCACACTATTTCCGAGTGTGATACATCCTCCAATTGCAACTTAGAAAATTAGTGTTCTTGAACCAGGCATGAAAGCAGTTTCATTGCTGGTGCCAAGTGCCACCTGCGGTCACTTGCCTGTTGTTCCCACACCTTCTCTCTCGCCTCTCTGTGGGCTCTCCTTGGCTGGTCACCCTTCAGTTCAGTGTGGACGGAGCCGTAAAGACAGCATATGCTGGGTCAGTATTGAAGGCTACTTGCACTGGTTTATTTAACTTTCAGTCCTTTCTTGACTTAAATCATCACGCTGGGAGGAAGCTATTACCTAATTGTAAACTGTGCATGGTTAACCTCTCAACTACCATCACAAGTATTTATTTGAAGCAGAGGAGCTGCAGAGAAGCACTAATCCCTGACCCTCACCCGTGGCCTTTCGTGTGTACATGCTGAGACTTGTAGAAGGGTTCTCTGCTTCTTAATTTGGAAAGATTCAGATTTTTTTTTTCCCAGTCATGTTTCACAGTGGTCACTTTTGACAAAATAACTGTTGAAATGCAATGGACAGGACAACCTGGCTGGATTCTAGGTCCATACCTTATTGGCTTTGTTACCTTTGGCAGATTACCTGACTTCCTCATGCATCTTCCCTACAACAAGATAATAGTGGGAATATCTCATGAAATGGCCCCCATTTCTCTAGACAGTGAGCCCCACAAGGGGCTTGGCCTGTTTACTTCTGTCTCGCCAGCACCTTGAACAGTGCAGGGGGCCCTGATAAACATTGTTGAAAGCTCAACAAGATAATACATATGATCCATTTAACACAGTGCCTGGAGCAGAGAAACAGTAACTGTAAAATTATCTGGGTTTTAAATGTTATCAGTTACACTGAAAAGAAGAAAAATTTATTTAATAAATGTCTTTCATAGAAGAAATATTGATCTACTACTGAGACATTCTATACTGACCTCAGATAATACTCCTTACAATTAAGTAAATTTGGCCTCTCTCCATGAAGTCTGCCAACATAATTTCTGGGCTGACATACGAGTATGAAGGAAAAAATGAAAGTTAATTCCTATTCCCTGAAGTTGTGTGTGGGGGGGGTGCGCATGCATGTTTAAATCAAATTGATGTTTAAGATGAGTTGTGTCCTTTCAGTTTTCCCAACAAGGAATGTTGAAAGCTTTCTCTTCTGCAGTTTATTCTAAGAAGCAACATTTCTAAACTGACTTTGCTTGTTTGTACCCGACTTAGTCAGCTGTCCTAGGTGATAGTTTAAAATAGGAATATATTACTTTTCTCCACTTCACTTTTTGTATGGGCATTTGTAGGGTTTTTAAGAGTGCTACAGAATTTAGAGCAAAGGGATCTCAGAAATGAGCCTATCTTCCTCATCACTGCATCTTACAGATGAGGTGAGTGAGTAGAAAGAAGACTTTAGAGGTCCTGGCTGGCTCGTGTCCAAAGGTAAGATCTGAAACATACTTCCTGACCTCTGATTGGTTTTTCCTTCCCTCCCTTAAACAAAACAGAAAAATAGCAGCCCAGATCTAACCCTATAAAAAGACGTTTCAGTGGTTACGTAATTCTTTCTCATTCAAGTCTTTGCAGCAATGGCAGTGCTAAATGTTTAGCTAAACTATTGGGAAAATTCTGTATGTAACTTATTCTGATGAAATGTAAGTTATTAACTATTTTAGTCATATATTCTGTAATAGCAGTTTAACAGAATTCTTTGGCTCTCTTGACATATTGTAGAACTTGTGAACATCAGTCTTCATTTGTACAGGGATACATTTTCTTTTTTTTTTTTTTCATTTATTTTTATTAGTTGGAGGCTAATTACTTTACATCATTGCAGTGGTTTTTGTCATACATTGAAATGAATCAGCCATGGATTTACATGTTACAGGGATACATTTTCGAACGTATTTATTGTTAATAGAGTGCTTTCCGTGTAAAACTCTTCTCATATAGCTAGAATAAGTCAATTAACGTAATGAAAAGTTTTATATACCTATATATATTTGAATGACTGTCTTACTGTTTTAAAGAAAGGTCAGATAGCATTTTCATTTCTTAACAATCTGTGTGTGGCATCGGCCTTTCTGTTTTTTACGGTGTTATCATCCGTTCCTCACTCCTACTCCTGTCGGGAGGGTGAAATGACAGCAGTCCATTCCCGTGGCGCCGGCGGTCGCGCACCGCGTCCCGCCCGCTGAGGCTCCTCGGCGCCCCGGGGTCGCGCGGTCGCTGTCACGTCTCGCGTCCCTCCGCACCTCCCCCTGTACAGCTGTTAGGGACTCTCCGCATGCTGGAGGCAGCACAGCTGTCAGGATTTTTTTTTTTTAAGAAGGGTTTTTAGGAAATAATCATATATTCATTAAGTTTGAAACATGGAGATTCAACGCATCTCACCTTCTCCTAGTGCTTGGATTCTGCGGGCTCCCTGCCAGGTAGAGGGGGCGAGGGTGGGTCCTTGCTGGGCAGGGACCCCGCCTGTGCTCAGGTCGGTGTCAGGGCGCCCGGCGGGAGCAGCGCCCGCCTCGGCACCGACATGCGGGCGGCAGCCTTCCTCCTCACTGCCGACGACGCCCCGGGGCCTGGGGTGTCGCTCAGGTTTCCTCTCTGAGACGGGAGCAGGACACAGGACGAAGGAGGAGGCATTCTGGCAGAAGTGCGGTTCTGCTGGTCGCTAATAATAGGCAGAGTTGGCTCCTTCCGCCGGGACGTGGGGGAGAACCAGCGTGGAGTGGAAGCCGCGGCGTGGCCTTCGAGTGTGACAGTTGCCGGTGACCCTCTGTGCTCTGAGGTCTTCGCCGACTCCGGCGCAGTGTCCTGGAGCCCTTGCTGTCATCCGGCCTCCCTGCCCCTGGGCTCGAGGGCCGGCGGCGGCGTGTGGGCCCCGTGCGGCGGTCCAGATGTGATGCCAGGGCAAACGCGAGCGTTTCTTCATCCATCTTGCACACTCTCCTCAGACCCCTGAGGTATCAGCAGATTTCCCTGAGCTAATCACCTTTGGCTCTGGTAAACCCTGAACCTTCTCGCCTCAGTGTTTCCTCGCCTCCCGCGTGGATTCCGGGGAGCCCCTTCCGCGGGTCACGGCCCCCCGCTCCGGGCCCTGGACCGGGAGTTGAGGCACGGCCGCCGCCTCCGCCGACCGCGCGCGTCCAGTCAGCCCACACGACGGGCCAGAGGGCTCGCGGCTGCCGGAGCCGCGGAGCGAGTGTGTGTCCGACTGCACGTCCTTCACACCCAGCCGTTTCCACAGGTTGTCTGGCTCTTCTCCTCCCGACGGGAATCGGCAAATTTACTCGTCTTCACGGGAAATGCTGCAGTTAAATCATTTATGTCTTGTCTGCCTCTGATAGCATCCGAACGTGTCATACTTTATTTCAGTTTTATCCTCCTGTTTGCACACTCCTTTTTTCATTTCCTCATTTTTATGAATACCTCCGCTTCCATCCATTCTGACTAGGGCCATCCGTTAGTAGGAAAAAGGGGTTCCAGTGTCGGTAGGGTTTCCTGTACAGGGGTGGTTCCGTGGTGTCTTCCCCTTTTAGCCCAGTGTCGTTTCCGCTCCCAACGCGTGTAAGGCCGTCCTTGTGGAGGAGGATGTGTTTGAGCACGGTGCCTTGACTTCGTTGGGTCCATCCTTGTTGCCTCTACCACAACACCCCTGTTGAGCATCCCGAGTTAGTCTCACGAGATTTACTGTGAACTCCTAGGGAGTTCTTAACAATTGGTAGAAGGGGGGAAAGAGCTTTTCTCTGTGAGTAGCAGCACAGTTTGGTAGCTGTTGCCTCAAGCAAGTAAGATTTCTAAATATTGTTCTCAAACTTCGATTTTCTATTTGGCAAAAAGCCTTAGGCAAAATGATGGTGAAATAATAGCCATCTAAGTTTGAGATTTTAAGATTCTCCCTTCAAAAGTTACTTAAATATTTCTATCCTTGAAAATATAATGTGAATGTCTTATTTAAGACATTTAATAAATATTAAATATATTAAAAAGAAAGTGTATTCAAAATAAGCTAACATCAAAACAAACCCCAAATTATCCAGGGCATCTTGTGTTTATAAAGGTCTCAGTAGTAACAGTCTGAGACGTTCTTCCAGATATGTCAGTGACCTTTTCACGTATGTTATTAAATAACCCTTTGATATACAAAATTCTGTTTTATTCTTTCTAAAGTGGGAGTTAAGTAAGGTTCTGACGGTTGGTGACTATATCATTTGTAATTTTAAGAGTCACAACAGTATTCTAAGGGATGTTTCTGTTAAAGTTGATAGGTATGCTTTATGCACACCCCACCAATTGTTATGTATTACTATGTATTTTTAAATCACCATGTTGTCATACTTGATTATTTGGGACATACAAGCCATGTTTATAAAAATTAAGAAATGAAACCAATGTGAGCCACTTAGTGGATTTTGTTAGAATTCCTTCTGTGCTCCTTAGACTCTACCTGAATTAAAGAAATAAAATAAAGTGGCACTCACTGCCCCCTTTTTAATGTGGGACGGATGTAAATGTGCTGCTCAGGATCAGGGGAAAAAGAGGAAATTTAAAGGTTCTGGAGTATGCCCCAGAACAGTTTTCTGATCTTAATTATTTTGATGACATTTTAATCTAAAATTTTGGATGTAACCACTGCAATGATGTAAAGTAATTAGCCTCCAACTAATAAAAATAAATGGAAATAAATAAATAAATAAATAAAATTTTGGATGTAATTTCTTACCACAGCTGCATCTTCATTTTTATCCTTCTCGTTATGTCTGGTTTCTTTTTGCAGTGGGTACACCTTATTACATGTCTCCAGAGAGAATACACGAAAATGGGTACAACTTCAAGTCTGACATCTGGTCCCTTGGCTGTCTACTGTATGAGGTAGGTAATGCTGATAAGTTGGGTACACTCAAGTGCTTTTACTGAGTGGAATGTGTTTCCCTGTCCTTTTAGTATATAGTTATTTTTTTTCTAGGTGATGTTTAAGAATTAGCTTTTTAATTATGAGGAAGTTAATTCATTGACTTAGTAACTGGTTTTATAATGTAGTTTAGTAACTACACATTTCTACACATTTATTTTCTCTAATATAATTTTAAATTGTTTCCTTTTGATCGAAGTTTTAATTTCTTAAATGTTTTTTATGTTAATATAATGTTGCTGCATAATCTTATAAAAATATACATTTGAACATCTATTAAAAAAAAACTTGCCCATGTATAGCTGAAGAGATGACAATGGAATGGATTTAAAATATGAAAGCATGATAAATATCTTTATCAATTTTTTTTAACTTTTATGTAAAGTAATTCAGCTTTCAGGATAGTTTATAAAGAGATAATTCTTCTAGGTTATCACTTGGTTTAGTTTCTGTGAGTAACACTTTGTATTGGTAAAGCTTGGTGAAATTCTCTCAACTGTTCTGGTGATAATTTATCAAAGAAAGATGGCATTATGTAGACAGGTCCTCTAGCAAGTATTGCAGTGCGACAATTCGGGTGAATAGAAGAAAGCATGCTATGAGCATGTTTTATTCTTGTTATATAGTAATGGTGTCAGAGAAGGCTCAAGCTAGGGACTTCTTTAATTGAATGGTAATTTTCTTCAGAATGTGGGCTTCTAGTCAGTGCTGTTCACTAAACATTAGCCTATATCTCAGTAACTCTTTTAATAAAATAAAATGAAGGAAAATAGTACAAGGAATCCTTTTCATATTTTAAGACATATAAAGGAAGTCTAAAGTGGATAGATAGAAACCAGTGTATTTGTTACTATTTTCTGTCTCTTGCCTTTCTGGCTTAAATAAAATATGATGACATCGTGTATTTTAATTGTTCCACCTTTACTTGGAAGTAGAGCATCAAGAGGTTTTTAAAAATGTGTGTCATAATCTTTAATTATTGTTTACAGATTGAAGGTCAGACTTCCTTAATGTAAGGAACCTGAGATTATTGTGTTCTTCCTACTAAAATAACAACCATTAGGAGCTTTTAAATATTCTTAAATAACATCCCTGGGATAATTTTTTTAAAAAAAGTTATGAATTGGTGATAGAATAAAATACATTTTTGTTTGTATTCACTGTTCACATGAGATTAAAAGAGGTTTATGCTCATTAATATTCTGTTAATAATTTCATACAGTATTGCACTGATTTGACTATGTTGTTATTGTAAAGTTTAAAAGGCACTTTGTACATTTTAAAATATTTTATACCTATTTAGGCAACCTTAGATTCTTTCAGGCCATAGTCTAATAAATTATCAAAGCAACATTTTCCCTTTATATACCTCAAAGTAAACTGAAAATTGGTTTCCACTAAGGAGAGTAAATTTAGCAATGAAAAAGAAAAAGTTCAGTTGTTACTTGAGAAGTCTGCATAATTCTTTTAGGACCAGCAGATTCCCATGTCAAAACTGAAATAATCTTTCACGTTATGAATTTGCCTTTGAGAGGCAGCGTCCCATTATTATGTATACTTGAAATGATCACCAAAATAAAAATTATTTCTTTGGATGCTCCTACATTCATGCATATTATGTGTTGGGAATGATTTTGAGTGAAAGTATTTAATGCGTTGACATTAGTTTTAAGCTCAGAGCGTTTTCCCAATTGTTCCATGCAAGTCATTGGGAAGAACTAGAATTTCTTCTAAGGATTTAATTTACTTTGATGTTGTATCTCTTTCTAATAGAATGTCAATAAAAATGCCCAGAAGTTTATCTTTAAGAAAACTGCCCATAGCATCTCCTAGACATTTTCTATTGTATCCCACTAAGACTTTACCATTCACAATGAAGGAGTGGGAACCCTTTTTTGAAAATGTAATTTAAACTCAGCAAATTAGACTTTCAAATATTCCTGAAACCTCACACACACACACACAGACACACACACAAAAACTGGCAGTACAGTTTTAATTGATATGCAACAAAGTAGACTTTACTAATTAAAATCAAGATGCTCTGCTTTTGCTACACAGACCTTTACATGGAAAAGTAGGTTTTACACATTTCCTTTATTGTTCAGTGCAGCAATCGCATCCTTCCAGGGTTGTAGGTTGGTGGCTTACAGTTCAAAAAAAAGAGAGAGCTGCCACCAGCCCCGAAGACAGACAGTGGGCTCTCGTCCCTCCGACACCCCCAGAATACTAATCAGGGAAGTCGGACCCTGGAGGTCAGGGAGCAAGTCAATCATTCTAGCGATCGTCTCAGTGTGGAGGATCAAATTAGCCTGAAAAATTCAGCTGCTGGGAGGAGAGGGCGAGCAGCTGTCAGGGGCAGCATCGAGATGCACTAATGAACCAGATGAATAGTGCAAAAGCTTGAAAATAAAAACAAGACAGTTGACATTTTTCATCTGTCAAAGCAGGAGATGCATGAAAATATACTATTCCTGTTTAACTCCTTAGGGGACGTTCAGATTTTTTTTTTTAACACTGCAGTATTGAGACAAAAGTACTGTAATGAGCTCCTGGCACATGATAACAAACACACATACATTTACTTAGGGTTTTTGCAAACACAAGGAGACAATAGTTTACACACAGTCTGTTTCTTTAAGGGGGCATCTTAAAAGATTTTGTCTTATCACAGACTGTCCTCATATCTTAACAGAAGATGTAATTATTATTGTAACCGCTCTTCTGGAAATGTCCTCTCGGATGGAGCATTTTACACATTTAGGGACACAAACCTGGTTTGGGGATTTCTCCTCGTCGTGGGGAACACCTCTTCTGAAGGTGGTTTGGCAGGAGCTGTAGCGAAGAGCTGGTGGGTGGCTCAGCGGGCCCACATCCCCCAGCCCCGCGGTCCAGGCCCGGAAGGAGTTAAGCTCTGCCGCAGCCCCGACAGATGAGAGCCATTTTCAGCTCGTCCCATCCCCGCTGACGCCCACCGAGGAGCCCTGCTCGGCCCAGCGTGTTGCACGCACGCCCGGCCTGTCTGGGGAATGTACACATTGTCCTTCCAAAATCAAACTTATTAGCACATGTAGAAAAGGGTGACTGACTTGGGGGCAGCCTTGCACGCCGTGTTGTAGTCGTGCTGCCGCGGTTCAGAGATTTAGGAGGTTTGAACAGGAGGCGAACATCCTCAATTGAATCTTGAGTTTGTAACCCCGCTTACCGCAGTCCTTGCTCGCACTTGAAATGTCAGGTTAGAACCTGGTCTTAAAGTTGAATTCGATAATGTCTTTTTTAAAGTCATTCATTCTTTGAGTGTGGTTTTTTTTTTCCCCTGCATAAAAATCCCATTTGGATGCCTTGAATTAGTGGCCACAACTCCTAGGGCTTTTGAGCACGTTTAGTGTTTCTGAGACATTGTAACAAAAGGAAACTTTTGTTTTCACTGTGAACTAGTTTGAGTATCAGTTAGATCATTCAGATTGAGAAGACATTTTTTTAATCTGAGAATACGCTTTTCCTGCAGAGACTATCATGAGAGATAAAATGTTATGTGTACCGTTCCCTAAACCATTGCTGCACTATATTGCAGTTTTAGCTCATTTCATTTTTGTTGTATTTTAACCATTGAATGGTTGATATTATACCATTCATGTTTGTCTGGTCATGAGATACACTAGTTGTTCTTATTGCACTGTATTTACAAAGAGTCCTAAATTATGTTATTTTTGTAATACTGTTTAATTTAATGTGCCTAAGTGTGTGTGGGTGTGTATATATAATTCTATGCTAACCAATTCTCCCTTCTAGGAAAGTTTAAATGTTAAAAATAATAACCAAAAATTGAAGTAAGACATTTTAGGACTTATGAACTAATTCTCTGAAAAGGATGTTCATGAAACGCCAAATGCCTGGAGAACTTTATTTAAAATGTTTGTAATTATCCCCTCCCCTCCAGTGTCATATGCTCGATGAAACCTCCTTTAAAGTTAACGTGTAAGTGTATCAGTTTCATTGGGAGCGTTTTGCAGATGGCAGCGTTACAGAGTCCTTTCTATGGCGACAAGATGAACCTGTACTCGCTGTGTAAGAAGATAGAGCAGTGTGACTACCCGCCTCTCCCTTCAGACCACTATTCAGAGGAAGTAAGTCATCTTTTAGTTTGTGTGTCCACGTTGTTCGTTTTGCTAATGCTTGCATTTTATTTTGGGCCCTTCTCTATCCCATGATGCACATGCCGAGTATAGGTGGCAGAGAGAACACCTTCATTCTCTCGGAGGCTTGGCTGTTAAAAAGAGTTGCCCACAGTTCATCCATCACATGGAGAGGAACCCCACACCACGTGCGGTGTCACAGTGGGTGTGATGGGAACAGTGGCTGATCACGCCTCCTGGACACAGCGCCCAGGCTCTGGGTGACCAGCACATCCAGTGTCCCTCCCCATGCCCACGGTCTCAGAGCAGCTCTGACTCCCTCTTCTGGCAGAACCTCCCTCCTGCCCACGTTTTCCCAGAATGGAAGCAAACATCTCTCAGCTGTGTGTCTCTCAGCCTTGTTCCTTCAGCTTTATCCTCGCTCTTTTTACTCTCACCAGGCCCATCCCGTAACCACCTCCCCTCTGCAGTCAGATTACCATGGGAAACGTTTGAGGTCATCACTGTAGACGTGGTAACAAAGTACCTTGGAAGGAACTGGAAATGTTAGAAGACGTTACCTACTGAGCGGGGTCCTTGCTTGCTTTGGGAACCCACTGAGATGAGTTGTTTGGCCTCCACCCGACATCCAGGGTTCCCCTGCACAAAACATCTCCCACTTTTGCCTAATGCATCATGATTTTACCAGTATTTGAGGAGATACTGCAGAATAGCAGTGTCTCCGGTTAACTAATGTGTTCAGATAACTCTTTGGATAGCTCACTGGGGACCCACCCAGAGAAAGCATGGTGTCAGGGACCTGCTCATGGGCTGCAGGGGTTCTGCCCAAGGAAAATGGGAAGGGGCAGAGGGAAAAAAATGAAGCAATTACGTTCACCTTTCAGTTGGTCTTGTCACTCTTTCTATTTCAAAATGCAATTGGTTCTAGTTTTATATAAGGAAGATTGAGTCCATGTAACTTGAATAATAAAATCTCTCTAAAGAATTTTTACCATATGGAAAAAGCACTCATGGTCCTAGGATGTTGAAAGTACTTTTTTTCCCCTAATCGTTTTGATACTGATAATCAGGGACACTTGGATTTTTTTGTTCCACAGCACTTGTGTTCAGGTGCTTAGAATAAACTCTTATAAGACAGCGCTGGTAATTTTAGAAGCATTATCTTTATTTGATGTTAATGCTATTATTATGTTAGCCATTTTTAATTACTATTTTGGGTGTGGAATATAAATACGGCATTTCACAAAACCGGCTCTAGCACTCTCGACCCGCAAATGCGGGAGGGTGTGAACAGTCGTGCAGAATGATGGCGAGGGTGTCAGGGGCCGCTCTTTGTTGTGTCATTCACGCTGTCTCCTCTTTTCCACGAAGCGCATGAATATTTCACGTATCTGCATCCTCATCCACTATTCCTCTTGACTAATTTTCAGACCGTCTGCATTTGCATTTCACATGGTAGCTGATGAGGAGATGCCCGCGCAGCAGCGGAGCCTCAGCAGGCGGTTACCATGGCGACCTCCAGCCGGATTTTAATGATGATGCCACTGGTGGTTCGTTGAAGTCGGCCTGCCTGCAGGGCTACTTCACTGCAGCTAAGTGTGAAGTTGGATTCGCGGGTTCTCAGCCGAGGGGCACATATCAAAGTCTGGCCCAGACAGAAGAAGGTCTCACAGTTGGGAAAGGAAAAGAGATTCCACTTTTTACTTCCCTCCATATAGTTTACCAGTCTTGAAATGAGGTATGAAGCAAAACGCATTATATGATGTACTTACCAAAAGAAGCTAGTATGGTCCCTCAGATTGGTAAATTCTGCTGCCACACAGCAATAAAACAGAAAGCTGTAGTAGGTTGGTAAACAGGGAACCTAATTCTTATGGAAGAAATGAGCTGCAAAAAAATACAAACTAATGATCTTACTTTAATCTGTTCCGTTAGGTAGAGAAGTTCCCAGAACAAGAGCTTTGAAGTGCAGATGTGCTGATAAATATTTTCTCTCCATAAGCAGGAACTCGGTTTGTTTGGAAGATAATTATTCAGAGTTTATGGTAGCAAAAAACCTGAACAGATGCCATACTGCCATCCTTCAACTGTATCTTCAATACTCCTTTATATAGTATGCCTTTTAGATCTTTTAAAAGTCTCATTTTTTTTTTAGTATGGCAAAAATTTAGGAAACAGAGAAAAGTGAAATATAAAGGTTTTAAACAGTAAACTTTTAATTAAAAGATCACTCCATTAGATACCAATTTTATAGCTCAGATGGCAACAGATTCTGTATCTGTTTGAAAACTGAAACTTTTAAGCAAAATTAATTTCCCACCAGATACCTGTTTGAAAGCTTACCAGTTTGATTTAGCTACTGCTAAATTTTTAAGGCTCCTGCCCAAAGAGGAGACACACAGGGAACATTTTTGTTCATGAGAATAAAAGCTGTGCCTCCAACCAGCCTCGACTGGTAGGCGTCCTGAGGAGCTCTACCAGGTCTGTTTCCAGATACAGGTGTTCCGTGGGGAAGAGCTCAGAGCTTAAGAGCTTGGGATTTTTCATTTCTTATCATCTAAGACATAGATTCACTTAAAACATTAGAAACCAAAACTGAGAAGTATTGCTAGTATTCCTTGGAAAAATAAAGTTGTCTGTCAGATCTTTCCTGTTGAAATGTGCTGTTGTAATTATGTACAAATGATTAGGGTTCTCGATTGAAACATCTCAGCTACACATGACTGATATTTAGAATGTGTATTTTAGAGTTCCCTAAAATAATAGCTTTATGACTTTTGGTGATCAGTAGTCTTTTCTAGTAGTGGTCTCATCCATGTATGATAGGGAATTACTGTACTTAACAATAGAAGTATTGTTGGTTAAAAAGATGGATATTTTCCCTGAACTCTTAGTTTTAATGACATTTAGTATTGTTGGTAATTTGGGAAGATGCCCTGGAGAAGGAAATGACAATCCACTCCAGTATTCTTGCCAGAGAATCCCATGGACAGAGAGCCTGGTGGGTTAGTCAGTTCACGGGGTCTGAGAGTCAGGCACGACTTAGCGACTAAACAGCAGCAACTAAAACTGTTGGTGATGAAGAAATTAACATCAGTGCAGTAAACAGTTTTTGAGTATTCACTGTGTCCAGGGAGTCCTGATTCCCCTGGCTCCTCATAGTCTGATCTGGGTTGAGCTGCCCAGCTGTTCTGGTGACAGCACCCTCTCTTCGTTCCTGAACTCCAGCATGCAGGTTCACCCAGAAGGCCCAGGAATCCCCATCCTTCTGTGGGTGCTGTCTCCTCTTGTTGACATGCCCTGCCCTCTGTGCCCTATCAGGTAGACTCATTCTCTTTAGAACAAAGCCTGGCCATTGCCTCCCCCTTAAAGTCATCCTGCTCCCTTTCTCCACTTCTCAGGCCCTCTTCCCTTAGCAGTCACATTGCTTTATAATTCCTTTTTTTTTTCCTTTGAGGTATAGTTGATTTACAGTATTATGTAAGTTTCAGGTGTACAACATAGTAAGTCACAATCTTTAGAGGGTATTTGTCTTTCTCTTCCTGACTTATTCACATAGCATAATACCCTCCAAGTTTATCTGTCTTGCTGCAGACGGCAGACTCTCTTTTTTGCGGCTGGGTCATATTCCATCACACACGTGTGTCCGGTCATCACCTCCCCAGTGGCCCCGCCTCCGGGCCTGGCTAGCTCCCGTGCCTGGGCAGCAGTGACTGCTTCCATCTGCGTGTCTCTAAGGCCCAGCACACTGAAAAGGGTCAGGGACTGACCAGTCAACGGAGAAAGGGAGCTAAAGGGATAAATGAGAAAAAGAATGAATGAGCCAATTAGTGTCAGTGGGATGAGTGAGCAAATGTCCTTACAGAGCCCTAGATAGTAAGGAAGAAATTACTCAAAAGACAGGTCAGGGGTGTGATGTTTCTTTTATTGATACTATCTGCAAGTGATTTTTTTCAATCTTGTAAACAAGCTATATCATATCTAGAATGTCCATGTCCATTCACTAGGAAATAAGACAGATTTTTTTTCCCCTTCAATGTTTAGTTTCTTTGGGAGACACTGGAGTAATCATCAAAATTATGCATTTTTCACTCTTGTTTACTAAATTATCTCAGGAAAATCTAAGATTAAAAAAATAGTGAATAGTTATATTGAAAGTCATTGAGAAAGTGCACACTGTGGTTCTCTATTGAGCTGGTTCTTTTTAATCGATATCTGAAAATCTGAGCATTAACACCATGCAAAATATATATTTGTCTTTGCTTTTATTTTTTTTTAAATTAGAAAATCCTAGCTAGCCTAAATAGAAAAGACACAGGAAAAGTTGGAGAGAATTGCGCCTCAGAGGTTTGGAAGGAAGTTCTGAAAAGTTGAGTAAAGAGTTTGCTGATGAAAGTTAAAAATGGAAGTGAGTAGAGAGAATAAGAGTGATCTTGGTCTGAGAATATAGAGTAGGGAGAATCTGAAGATTTGAAAACAGTACAAGTGAAAAAGAAATTTAAGCACCTATTAAAACATGGTGAGATGGTTAAATCTTTTTAATGAAGTGGATGATGTCATTATAACAGTGCCTCCTGACCTGAACTGTTAGGCAAATGCTTATCTGTTTACTAGTAACTTTAAATCTATTAAAGTAAATGACAAAGATCTTTGCAGGATACAGTATTTGTGGTTATCTTATAGTTGTATTTTTGAAAGCTTGCTAATTTAGTAGCTCTTACTACTTTTATTTATAGGTAAATATATATATATAATTTTGGAATTAGAATTATTAAACCAGTAATCATTTTTCACATTATTTAATGCCTCTCTTGTTGTACATTAAGTTTGTTTGTTTTGTGGCTTTATATCTCCAGCCCACAGACAGAAAAATAACTGTTCCTATTAAAACTCAGTTAATGAGACTACTTCTCAAATAATGCGATCAATCCTTTAAAATACCAACCTAAAAGGTCTAGTAGAGAATGGATGGAGTCTCATAAATGTTCATC